CATTTTATGTTAAGGTTAGGTTAATCCCTTTGAATAATGATATTGGATTAGGATTAGAATCTGTTGTAGTAGGAATAATGTACCAAACACTGAAATATCTAATGAATATAATGAAGTAATGAAATTATAATGAATCGCGTCTAAATATTTCCGTGGGGTTTCCAGAGACAAGCTAACGTAAAATGGGTTGCCCAATGATAATGGTGCAACAAGGTAGGGCGGGTAAAGAGGAGATCCATAACACCTGAGTTCTCCACTCCCTTCCCTTAAGCACTGTCGATTTCTTTTATTTGGTAACCCTGATTTGGGGAAGCACAAGAACCCTCCCTCTGGCCCTGAGCTAGGCCGGCAACAGACAGTGCGTGCTCCCGATCAGAACCAGGACGTTACAAACATCCTATCCATAAGTAGCGTTTCAAATATTTTAGAGAAGCCAGCTAGTAAGCTAATGGGTCTGTAAGAAGAGACATCATTGGGACTTTTTCCTGGCTTCTTAACCATAGTAATGGCTGCATGTTTCCATTGTTTGGGAAAATAACCATATCTTAGAATGCAGTTGTAAATTTGGGTAAGATAAAGAATACCTTTTTGAGGCAGTAACTTGATAACCTTATTATCAATGAGATCCGGGCCAGCAGCTTTCTTGTTTTGAAGGAGCTTTATTTTGGAGTGCACTTCATTAGGTGAGATGGGTCGGAAGGGGACACCAACGCCATTAGGTTTATTGTCAAAGGATTCACGATAGATCCAGCTGGGAGCAGCCATTAAAGATTTTTGGAGGCGGACTACTTCTTTTTTAGCAATGACTTTAGTTCTAAATTCAGGTGGATTAGTAAGTTTAGGTGAGAACCTCTCCTCCAAGTGAATAACAAAAGCATTTGATTTGTCATCATTATTTTTGGTCATGGAGTTTGAGTGGCCAGTTAGGTTCAGGTTGTCTTTTGAATTGATTTGTAATTCTCCAGAGCTTTTGAATACGATATCGATCAAGTGGGTCAATTTTGTTAAAAATATTATTGGTCCTCTTAATTTTTGCATCTCGTAAGGCTTTAGTAAAGCGCCTACAGGCTGCCAAAAAATTTTATTCTGGCAATAGGGGATTGCACTGCGATAAGAAGGCGTTTCATCTGGAACTTAGCATCATGGAGTTTACGAAGTTTTTGATTAAGAGGAATTCTCTCAGGACGATTGGAATGACGAGTTCTTATAAAACGAGTAGCCAGAGAGGCGGCATGGTAAATGTTACGATTAAAGATGTCGATCGCATCCTCAATGTCTTGACCACTATTAATGTCTGTGTTGAGCAGTATAAGTCCCGATAAAATATTTTGAAATTTCTTAATGTTAACGCCAGAAGGGAGCAGTCGGTGAAGTTTTTGAGTGCTATTCACGCAGCCATTTATTGAGAGCTTAATAAATATAGGCAAGTGATCTGATCGCAGATCAACTGTAGAGTAAGTAAGAGTTCTGTCATAATGAAGGCCAGAATAGACTGCAAAGTCTATAGCAGACGGGAGTTTTCTTTGATCGAAGGGAAAATGAGTGGCCCCACCCGTAGCCAGCACATTAAGTAGCGCGTTTGAGTGTATGCATTCAAGAAGAGATCTACCCCTAGGGCAGGATCTAGGATTGCCCCACCGGGGGTGCTTAGCATTCCAGTCTCCGCAACCTATAAACTTCGAGTTTTTGGAAAGGCTTTTGAAATGAGCAAATAGTCTTTGAAAATGATCTGTAGTCCAAGAGAATGTATAACTATATCCTCGTCATTAGTAGTGCGCAACAAAATCGGAGCACATTGTAGAAATTCTTCCTCAATAGGTTGCAAGGCAATATGTTTTAGTTTAGCATTTAAAATAGGTAACAACTCCCCCTTTTCTATTACCAGAGGGGTGGAAAGCAGGATACAGTAAAAACCCTTCAATATTAGAAGAATTATCTGCAGGAGCATTGGAGCCAGGGTTTGTGGGTAAGCGGCTTTCCATGACCATCATAATGTCAATTTTATTTGATTTAATAAAAAATTCTAATTCAGTCATTTTGTTATTCAGTCCACAGGCATTCCAATAGGCTATGTTAATAGAATTAATATTAGGTTCGCTTACAGGATTTCCAGAATTGGGCAGTGGATTATGGAATACACTCCGCTGCAGAGGAGCAGCAGTGCGATGATTGATTGATGAGTAACTAGACATTAAAGGAGTCATTAACAGTAGCGGGTAGTGGCAGATTAGAGCCAGTAATGAGTGAGCGCAGGAGAGTGATAAGAATATCCGTGTGCTGGTGAGAGAGGCGGCCAAGACATAACAAGTAGCCGCCTTGAGGTAGGTTGAGGATGATAAGAAGAAGAACAAGGTTGTAGAGCGTGGCAAGTGTCCTCATATTGGTGTGATTGGTTGATATTAGGGCTGGGCTGCTGCTGAAATTTGTTTAAATGATTATCTGCAGGGTTACGTATGTGGAGGATTTGAGTGCATTTATTATCAGGGTTATTAATTATAGATTTTTTGCCTGAATTAGATTTCACCTGGGGGGTGTTAGCTTTATTTGATTTGAGTTTGTAATCAGGTGAAATGACTTTTCTACGCCCTCGAGGAGGCAACTGGTGATCACTATTGTTTTCCCAGGCAAAAACCTGCTGTTGTTGCGATGAATTCAGAGATAGGTTGCGGTGCTGCAGCTGACGACTGACGCTATAACTAGGTTGGGGATTTATCCTCCCCTTGGATTGAATTGTAGATACCTGAGAATTAACAGTTGTGTGTACTTGGTAGGAAAGGAGCTGAGACTTGGCTTTTTTAAACGCAGGACACCCTTTATAGCTAGCAACATGGCCAAGACCACAATTGGCACATGTAGGATTAGCAATTTTAGTTTTAATGCAATTCGTGGATGGGTGGTTGCCTGCACACTTAAGGCAGACAAAATCACGACGGCAGAAATTTTTTAAGTGCCCAAAGCGTTGACATCTATGGCACATAACTGGTTCAGCTACACATAGCTGTCGTTCGTTTTCCTGGTTTTTAGGGGCAAGTTTATTAATGGTTGCACGGTCACTAGGAGTCAAGTTAAGGTTAGGAGAGAACGTAGGAAGCCAATAGGGTGTGGAACGACTTTTCTCAAGGGGGCCATCATAGGTGGCAATAAATTTAGGTAGTGTATCCACGTTTCCATTTAGGCTATCTTTATATTCTTCCATACTAGGATCCATATTGTTGTTACTGCTAGGATTTGAGGATGGCTGCTAGGATGGCTCCAACATTTCCAAGTGCAAAGTACAGTCTCATTAAGGATGATGGTGTGCCAGTACAGTATAGTACAGTAGAGTACTTATTGTGGTGGTGGAGTTTGACGTGATGATATTAGGAGGAATTCATATAGGTTGATGTAGTAGTGCAGAAGATGTAACAGCAAAGTGGTGAATTAGCACAGTTCCAATACAATCAAACACATAATTGGGATGAAATAGACAACGTAGGTGTAACAGGTGCATGTAAAGACTGTCTATGTGTATAGCGTTACATACACAATGCAGATACATGTGGTAGTATGCGCACATTAAAATTCACGTGGAACATTTTTTAAAAGTTAATTAAAAATTTGTTGTGAAAAGTTTAAAATTTTAAAATTGAGGGCGCACACTACTCGTAGGATTAGGATAACACACAGGATAGGATAGGATAGGATAACACAGTGATTACTTACACTAATACATTTTATACAAATATTAGATAACATAAGAAGCAATTAATAACAAGCTTATAGAAATCATTGAATTACTAACAGTTTTTAACATATAAGATTTGGAGTATCAATAAAGAGAAAAGTAAACAGAATAACTGAAGTATTTTAAAAATAATGCAGATTTAGTATAAGGATAATTATTTACTAAGAACGTTGAGTCCAAGCGTCGACCTGGAATCCTGAAGGCCAAATAAGTGGTCAGAACGCTGGGTAAATGGAGAGCGAATTGGAAAGCCGGTACTCAATGGCAGAGTAGTTGATTGGAGGCTACAGCAAAAAATAAGAGTTCAGGAGTCACAGATGTAAACAGGTGCAGTTGGTGAGGAATGATGCAGGTTAAGAGTAGTAGGATATAATTTGGAGCAATTAAATAATAGATGCAACAGAATTAGGTAGTAGACAATGAGTATAAAAGAGTTTTGAATTCACTTAGATAAAGATAAAATTCGATCGTAGGGTCCAAGCATCGACCTGAAGTCCTGGTGGCCAAGCCAGAGATCCAAACGCTGGGAAGATGAAGCTGGATTGGAAAGCCGGTGCCCAGTGGCAGGGTAGCTGGTTGGAGGCTGCTACCAGAGCTAGGAATACAGTGCCCGATCCCCAAGTTTAGGGAAATTGGTAATCAGGAGTCACAGATATACGCAGGTGTAGTTGGGAAGGAGTGATGTAGATTTAACAATAGCCAACTGGAATATCAATCAGCAGTCAGTAGCAGGTGCCTGAGAATTTTGAGGGGTAAATTAGTAGGAAAGGTATGGTTATACTGCCTTTCCCGGCAAATCAGTGCCATAGTAATCTTATAATTTTAGTTAATTAATTTAGTTAATTTAGTAGTAAGAGGATGCCAAGCAAAGCCAGCGAAGGCAGATAAAGAAGTAGCAGGCAGCATCTGATTAACCCATGATCCTACAAATCAGTATCACTGAGCCACGTTCTGAGCCAGGGAACTAGTATGTGATTGAATTCCAACTGCAAGGCAGACACCGGGATGGATTAATCGCAAGTATATAGACAAATTAATAGAAGTATGCTGAGTTTAATTTGTTTCCAAAATCCTATTTCCGCAGAGGTATATTAGCAGCAAGGATGACGCCAAAAGCAGAGCGCGACGCTAACTAGCCAAGGTCAAAAATGCGTGGCACAGTGGGACAACCATTCTCCAGGTCCAGCGACGATGCACGGATATCATTGCACCGCGCTCAGTAGACACACAGCACTTATTAACAGGTCCCAAATAAACAGCGCCATATAATATCAGCAGGTATAGAACCATAGAGACTGGAAAGCTTCACTAGGTAGACAGATTCATTTTAAGTAGATTAATGGTAATGATTTCATCTAATATTTCTAATTGCAGTTTTATTCCTGTTTGAGTATCCAGTAAATGTACCAGAGCCAGTCACATACATAGGAGTCGTTTGAGTTTGGTTAATCACAGGTATGTAGACAAATAGGCAGCAAAATAGTAAGTGTAATCCAAATTTAAAATTTCTGTATGAGTTGTGCAGAATAAGCAGCAAGGAGACGACGAGCAAGGTTGGAGGGCAAATTTTAGGAGCAGCAGGCAATCTCCGCTTCCACCACCGGTCAAGAAACCAGCATGTATTTGGGATCCAGCCGCGAAGGCAGACATCAGGATGGATCAGTCGCAAGTATGTAGACAAATTAGTAGCAGCATGCTGAGTTTAATCTGTTATCAAAATCCTATTTCCGTAGAGGTACATTAGCAGCAAGAATGACGCCAAAACAAAACACAATGACGACCAAGCAGGGTCAAGAAATGTATGGCATAGTGGAACAACCAATCTCCAAGTCCAGCAAAGAAGTACAGATAACACTGCGCCACGCTCAGTAGGCACACAGCATTAACTACTAGGCTCTGAATTAGTAGCGCCGTATCATTTCAGCAGTCTCGGAACCATTGAGATTGGAAAACTTCACTAGATAGGCAGATTCGCCTTGAGTAAACCAATGGAAATGACTTCATCCAATATTACCAACTGCAGCTCTACTCTTGTTTAAGTATCCAGTAACTGAACAGAGCCAACCACATGTTTAGGAGCCGTACAAGTTAGATTGAGCATAGGTAAGTCAGCATATTCCATATAGGTATATTAGCAGCAAGGATGACGCTAAAAACAGAGCCAGGGTCGATAAAGTATGGCATAGTGAAACGACTATTCTCCAAGTCTGGTGGCGATGTACAGGATGCGTAATAATTAGTATTCCAAATAGCCGTCATGACAGGATAAGTTAATATGTGATCGTCAGGTAGTCGCGGCAAAGGGCAGATTGCTGAAGGAACCTGGGACAAAGTAGTACATTAAAGTATTTGTGGTTGGCAAGGTAATTCTGCATTGACTGAACAAAATCATGGTCTTAATCAAATTCGTTTTCAATTCGCCGTTTCAGGCTGGAAAGCCTATCATCTAGTTGCTGTTCAGGAGTAGGTGGTGGAATCTTACTCAGAGAAGGTGGAATCATAACAAGACGTTGAATGTATTCTGGTTGGCATTTGATTTTCTGCACTGTTTACCTGCGTGTATAAACACTACTACGGAGTCACCATGGTGGAGCGTTTACCCAGAACATCAAGAAGCGCTGAAAAGGATCACATTCAAGCTTTAGGCATTCAATCTCTTCACAAGCTTCAGTATCTAATTTCCTTTAAGCCTATTTACATCCGTATGCTGCTACATTATAGAATCAATCCAGTTTTAAATTCCTGATTCAGTTATGGAGGAATAGGAGCAGCGAAATACGCTAAACAGGCTGAAGAGAGCAAATATAGGAGCTGCAAACGAATTCCTAAGACTGGCAGATTGGCTAGAAAATGCAGTCAATTTTTCCAAGGATACTGCAACGTTACGTTACTCAAGTGGGTGCTTAGCAGTTGGTCAGGATTCCGTCAGATGAACAGCTGTTGGATTGAATGATGCCAGTAAGTAAGAGAAGTTGATTTGGAGTAAGGCAGAAGCAATAATTTTATTTTCCATCATAGATTAACTCCCAATTGAGGGGCAGACATATGTTATCCCGCTGCAGCAAAGATTTTAGGATGGATTAATTACAGGAACGTAAATAAATTAGCAGCAGATTGTAGGAATTAACCGGTTTATAGAATCCTATCAAGGTTTATTGGCAAGGTTTATATCAAGGAGAGCAAGGTTTATTTTTTATTTAAGGCATTTTATTTTTTCCAGAATTTTTCCAGAATTAAGAAAACCAATTTTAGTTTTAATGAATTATATTTAAGTAGTGTTTAGGTGAGGGGCCGTTGTGCCGCTCGCCTGAAGAGCGCATCCGCGCTGAAAAGCGCACCCGCGCTAAAGAGCGCATCCACACTCGCCCCTCTGTGCCCTCTCTTCTCGCTCGTTGGTTGTCGTCGATCTCTTTTTTTGTACTAGTTTCTAAGTTAAGTTAGTTATCTCATGTAAGCAGCCGAATAAAGCTGACCGCGTTATACCATCCGAAAGACGCCCCCGACTTCTTATTTCAACATTCTAATTTTTTCTGGAATCTTTTTGCGGAACCACGCCCCCCTACACATTTTGGTCCTTCGAGCCGGATGATTACTGGATTTTCTTCTGCCAGCAGTTCTCGGCATTGTTCCGCCAAAAGATAAGTACATTTTTCCGTCCCCATCTCTCTGCCGGTCTTCAGCAGTGATCCGAACATTAAATTTCGTTCAAACTGCTGCAATATTGTTTTTCCCTCCGTGTCCAACTCCAAGTCCGAGTTTTCCGACACAACGGCAGGTTGAGATTTTCTAATAATCTTTAATAATATTAAAATTCGGCAAATTTTTCTATCCGTCTCCGTTTTGTGTGCTGCCCATATTCCTCGCCGTTTTCGGCCTCTCCGTTATTCATTCGCTTGCCAACGGTAGAGGCATATGTGCATCCGCATACATAAGTACATACGCACATACATATTTTTTTGGTGCAATTAATCCGCGAAAAATTCGCAAGTGAACAGTGAAATTGTGTGGTGACAAAAAGAAGGCATAATTAATATTGCCCACCGGTGTGAATTAGTTCCGGAATTTCCAAATTCACCGAACAGTCCGCCGCTGTCGTATTATTTGTTTTTATCTTCCTCAATCAGTGCCATTTTTTACACCACATAACTTTTCTGTTCCCCCAATCATACAGTCCACTTATTAAAGCTCCACTGTGCCAACATATGCCCACATGCCCTTACATATATCCGTACCTGCATGCATGTCCATATATTTTCTGCCTTCAATTCCAGGAAATATATAACCGATAAAATTTAACATATACAGTCCACTTATCGAAGCTCTACTGTACCATCATATGCCCCACATGCCCTTGGCCTACTTGCATGCATGTCCATATAATTTCCAAATATTTTCTGCGTCCAATTTCAGGAAATATATAGCCGATAAAATCTAAAAAAAATATTTTACATTTTCTAAAACCAACGATTATAAACCGCCATTTCACTACAATTCCGTGATTGTGTCGCTTAAATTCTCGACCTAGCCGTGTTGTGTTTTTCGGTTCTGTTTATTATACCCTTGCAGAGGGTATTATAATTTTGGTCAAAAGTGTGCAACGCAGTGAAGGAGACATCTCCGACCCTACAAAGTATATATATTCTTGATCAGGATCACCTCCTGAGTTGATATGAGCATGTCCGTCTGTCCGTCTGTCCGTCTGTCCGTCTGTCTGTCCGTCTGTCTGTTTCTACGCGAACTAGTCTCTCAGTTTTAAAGCTATCGACTTGAAACTTTGCACACACCCTTCTTTCCTTTGCACGCAGTATATAAGTCGGAACGGCCCGGATCGGCCGACTATATCCTATAGCTGCCATATAACTGATTGATCGGAAATGGTATAACTTTGGTGTTTTTAGAGTTAGAGAGTTCAAATTTGACATGAGAGCTATTTTTGGCAAAATAATACGACATGCCAAATTTCATAAGGATCGGCCGACTATATCCTATAGCTGCCATATAACTGAACGATCGGAAATGACCCAACTTTCGTGTTTTTGAAGATAGAAAGCTGGAACTTAGTACAGATTTAATTCTTGGTCAGTTGATCCAACCTACCAAATTTCATTAGGATCGGCCGACTATATCCCATAGCTGCCATATAACTGAACGATCGGAAATGGTATTTGGTAGAAATATCAACTTTCGTATTTTTGAAGATAGAAGCTTGGGACTTTTTTTAGATTTTGTATTGTAATAAATTGGAGTATATATTCCTATTCCCATAAGGATCGGCCAACTATATCCGATGTTTGCGATATATATCCGGTTTTAACTGCAAGGGTATATAAACTTCGGCTCCGCCCGAAGTTAGCTTTCCTTTCTTGTTTTTCTTTGATGTACGTACAGGGTGCCGACGGCATAACCGGCTGCATAACAAAATAGATTAAAAAATCAATTAATTATAAATTTATGTATTTATAATTATAACTACGAAAATTTATTTAATTCTTATTTTCCGTTCGAGCAAAGGGCCAGGTTTTTCAATTCACCTTTCCGGCCACTCAACAATTAAAGTCGAAGATTTATTTATCGGAAAATTATAATTAATTAATTTAATTATCCACCTTCTGTCCGAATAGAGCCGCGGTTTTTTAATTCCATCTTCCCGGCTTCGTGTTAATTAAATTCAATTAATTAAATATTTAGGTTCCAATTCCACCGTTCCAGCTTCGTGATAATTAACCTCAATTGATTAAAAATTAAGATTTTCAACTCCACCCTTCTGGCTCCATCATATTTAAATCCGACAGTTAGCCAAAAATTAATTATTTATATTTTTGTGTGTTAAATTCAAGCCAAAGTTAAGTCCACCTTCCGGCTCCGCAAATTCGAAAATAGTTAAGAATTTAATATCTCAGTATATATTAAATTCAGTACGAACCACACAAGTGGAAATATACATACATATATAGACCGTCATCATTTTTTTCCGAACAAGCACGAATTTTCCGGTACTCTTTCCATTTTTTCGTGCCTCCAACTCTGCTTCTACTCCGCATCAGGCAACATCCGCCTACAATCCGAACAAACCTCGTCTCCTTCTGGATTTTTCTTTTTGGCTTCCTGAAGTTTCTCCCACATCCGAATTGTGCCGCATCCGACGTTCCTCTCGACATCGGCGCTTCTAATTCCCACTTGGCCTTGCAATCGGAGACGACCAAAAGCCACGTCCGATCCCAACCATCCGTCTGGACAGATCTCAATCCGCTTCTCCGCGGACGCCTCTTTTAAAGCCCAAGGCGTACAGTGCCATTCCAAGGGCAAAGAGTGACAAATCCGTCAATACAATCCCCGGTCCTTCACAGAGGCAGACTCGTTCGGTTGCAAAAATGGCTCAAAGTGCGGTCGACGTGGCGCTGAAAAAGTTAATTGCCACAACGGATCGAATTAGCCAATTTGAGGCTAACATAAGTACTCCGGGCGCCCCAGAAACGGAAATAGGCTCCCAATACATGTGCGAAGTTCATCGGGACCAAATTCAGGCACTATGGGAGAAGGTGGAGAAGAGCTATGAGAGCTGCTCCGATTTGCTAGCCGTGTCCGACGACAATGCGGCCGCCTCGACAGTGCTGGAAGCGAAGCACAGCTACTGTTACTCCGTCTATTCGAGATGTATTGCCCAGCTTCGGGAGAAAATTGCTTCCCAATCCACTCAGGCTCCCGTCAATGTCCACACGCCCGCGCCTACAGGCTGCCGGTTACCTCCGGTGGATACCGAGGTCTTCGCGGGTGATTATCTTCGGTGGCCCACCTTCAGAGACTTGTTTACGGCCATTTACATCCATAACTCGCGGCTCACCCCGGTAGAGAGGTTGTTCCACTTGTTGTCCAAAACAAGTGGTGACGCCCACGCCATTGTTTCCAAGGCTCCGCTTACCCATGAGGGGTTTGACGCCGCGTGGCAAAGCCTCACAGATCGCTTTGAGAACCGGCGGCTATTGGTTAACAGCCAGTTGAAGATCCTTTTCAACATCCAGGCTGTTTCCCAAGAGTCCAGGGTCGCGCTGAAAGAGCTCCAAGCCACCATTCAGAGTTGTCTGACAGCCCTCGCAATGTCCGCCATCAATGTTGAGGCTTGGGACTGCCTCCTGGTGTTTATGATTTCGTCAAAGCTCCCCAAAGTCACACTTTCCATGTGGGAGCAATCCGTTCATAACAAGACCGAAATTCCGACATGGAAGGAATTAGACAACTTCCTGACAGAGCGCCATCACACTCTAGAGGCAATCGACGACGTCAGGCCTAGTGGCTCCGGGCAACTTCCGCCAAGGTCGGGAATTCCTATTGCCCCCGCTCGGAGGCTCAATTCACACGAGACTCGAGTGGTTCCGGGTCAAAAGCGCTGCGATCTCTGTTCGAGGGAGGACCACCACATTCGCTTATGTCCGCGGTTTCTAAATATGGGTGTAAATGGGAGCTTTGACTACATTACAAGGAAGCAGTTATGTCTAAACTGTTTTGGGCGAGGGCACCAGCAGCGAGACTGCACGAGCGCCCGTACCTGTTTCACCTGCCACAGCTGACACCACACCCTCCTGCACCGCGGCAATCCGTTCGCCACCGCTCCAAGTCCGCCTATGCCGCCTACCGCTCCAAGTCCGCCTACGCCAGCAAACGGCTTAGAGGATCAGTCGAATGTGCAGGTGTGTTTCGCTTCCGGGTCAGGAGCAGTCATACTGGGCACGGCCCTTATCAACGTGTGCCATTTGGGGTGCACCGTCCAGGCACGAGCACTAATAGACTCAGGGTCCGAATCGACCTTCATAACGGAACGACTGTTCAACCTCGTCAAGCCTCCTTTCAAGACGATTCACGCCCAAGTTTCCGGCCTTAATCAGACCATTTCCGCGCAGTCTACGAAATTGTGCCATTTCTCCATTCGGTCGCCGTCTAGACCAGGGCTACAATTAGAGACTGCGGCCTACGTTCTTCCGCAGTTGGCAGGAAATCTGCCATCATATCCAATTTCGCGAGATCGTCTCAAGGGGCTGCCCAATATTACCCTGGCGGACCCCAACTTCTTTGAGAGCTCCCAAGTCGATGTGTTATTAGGAGCTGACATTCTTCCGTCCATTCTCCT